GTAAAAGATATCAATAGATATCACCTGAGCTGTGAAAATCAATAATGTAGATAACAGATCGATGTGTACGTTTGTAAACACACATGAGTCTGAGTGCGCGAATTTTACACGAAATAAGTTACGAGAAATCATTAACGATTTACAATTTAAAAATTATTTTTATTTTATCTTTGTTAATATTTTTATATTGGAGATTTATTAACTCTAATAAATCTCCAGATTATATAATACTATTAAAATTTATACGATATTTGATTTTAGAATTTTCATTTCTAGATTTATATCATTTAATTATCTAAAACCTAAAAAGATTATATTGCCAATATTTTCTTTGATGTCATTTTGATATTATTTTCGCGGAAATTATGTATTATAAAATATTATAAATAATATTTAATTCAATCTGTTTGATAAGAATATGTCCGGTGCACATCCGAAAATTATTCATTATAATAAATTGAAAGAAATACACATATTACTTGATAAGAATCGTGATGCTTTATTATTAATTTATCCAGTCACTTTTATTATCAATAATTGTCTGACATCTCTGAGCATTCTCATTAATTTTATGATACATATTCTTAAGATAAAGATGTCCAGATCAATCGAATTTGTCGAACTAGATGTTTAATCATTCAAATCTTCTTTTTACTAAGTTCAAGCTTCAATGCCCAAACATTTCTAACAGGATTTGCGTTCGGTGATTGTGATGGTCAATCCAGTATGTGAACGTCATTTTCTTATTTCCACGCAGAATAAAAATATCTTCAATATTTCCTATTATTGTTCTCTTGTAATAATCAAAATATTTGTTTTTCTTTCTAATCAACTTTTTGATAGATACTAATAAAGCTCTCTCATATATTTTTATCAATTTAGCGATTCAAATTATCTGTAAAGATATATATATATATATATATTCGAAGTGCCAAAGCTGTGCTTTGAGAAATAAATGTGAATTTTTATCATCTATTTAACGATGTATAGATCCATAATGTACATAAAATAAAGCATTCCTATAGATGTGAAGTAGGAGAGTGAATTTGGGCACAATTTTAGCTGTTCCAGAATGCTAGTACTGAATGATATGCAGGAAAATGCCCAAATACACTTTCATGCGTATCATATTTGATTAGTTGCTTCTTTTCGGATGTACATAGAGAAACATGGCTTCAAATCGCGATGCATATGCAGTACTCACGAAATATGTTCTTCTGTCACTAAGATTGAACGGTATAACTTGAATCTTCTTTATAAAACATCTTAGGAGAAAACTCTCTATTTGTTCCCGTTGGAATTTTCTATCTAACGATTTCCAGGTAAAAATTTCGCTGGACACGCTCGTATCAAACAAACTAATGACTCCTACATTTGAGATGCTTGATAATCTTGTCGAAGATATGATACCTTAACACTTTTCAGGTGTACGAACACCACCAGAAGTGAAACACGAATTGGGTGCTGCTGGTGGCGTTGTTTCTCCTGGAGTAGTTGGAGTCAACGATACTGATGATAAGGATGGCAAAAAGAACAAAAGGCAAAGGCGACAAAGGACACATTTTACGCAACATCAGCTTCAGAATCTGGAGATGACGTTTCTGAGAAACCGGTATCCAGATATGTCAACCAGAGAAGAGATAGCTTGCTGTACGAATCTTACGGAAGCTCGTGTCAGGGTAAGAGAATTTACGACATCACGATTCACATTGAAGAGTTAAATTTTATCGTATGCGTTAGAATCGTCATAAATATCTTATTATTTAAGATACATTTCTATATAAAAAAAAGGACGATTCGTGTAATGACTAAACGGAACATTTTCCTCAAAATTTTTAGATGTATTTAACTCGATTTAATAATTTAAATTAATTAATAAATAATAAAAATAATGGTATAATTTATAAATTGACAAAAGCTAATAGAGAAACTTCAGATTTTATTTCGTTCTATATAATAATTTGTATAATCGATTTTAATTCGACTTTCAAGTGTACATTGTAAAACATTAACGACTCGAATATTATTTTCTTAAAATTATTTCGGAAAAGCGAAAAATGTAACAGTAACATTCGTCGTCCAAAAGTTTGAGCTCGTTATAAATGAAGCAATAATAGACACTCACAATGGATGCATTGAAACATCATGAAGGATCGATTACAAAGGCAACAATCTGCTGACCACAGATGATATCTTATGCATTAGTGAAGTATACGAACGGTTTCTACAAGATATATAGAAACGACGAAAATGATGAGATATTTTACATATTATAAAACTTTAATTAAAACTTCCATATAAAAAGTTTTAAATTAACAGTTTCTATATACTTATTGTATATAAATCTACTTAATCGGAAAATATAATCAAATTAGAGACAAATATAAATATAAACTTGAAATTATATTATAGCTGAAAATTATAAATATGAATAAAATTATATATATGAAGAAAAATGCCTACACATTGCACACACGCAATAAAATTTATCTATATATAACTAAGCTAGAAATTCGAAATTTTATAAATCTGTAGTTAGAATTTTATATATAATCGCGTTTTTAATCCAAACGATCACGTATTATTATAATGACTTCAAACACAACAAACGATAATATAGCGATCTAAGATTGTAAAGGCAAAATACTTTTCGTTACAAAGTGACGTCGAAGAAACTAGACCGTTAGAGAAAGTTCGCAAATCCGTAAGCGCTGTATAAATTACTATAAATTCTCATGCCATGGTGTCTCGGCGACTTGATTCGCGGACAAACGACGGATCGCGCACAGTCCAAGTCCGAGTGACTTTGAAATGGATCAAGCGAGTGGCCAGACATGCTCTTCGAAATCCCGACGGCCTGCTTGCGTTTCATCGAGACGTTCCGGCGAGTGGTCGGCATCGCGAGATGGCAAAAGCGTGAAAGAAGTGTGTGTGAACAAGACATGGCAGAAAAGGGGGAGGACACTGGGATAGAAGAGAGTGGGCAGATAGGAGGTCACATGGGGAAAGAGGTGAGAGTACCGCGCAGGCCGCAGGGGAGGCTTTGCGCCAGTAAGCCCTGGTGGATTTATAGAACCACACATAGCGTGGTACGGTGTTCCCGCCACGGTGCTATACGCCATGTACCAAAACGCTGCAGATCCCTGGCCGTCGCTCGTTCGCAAACTGTAACGCCATTATGGAGGCATACTTCATTTTAAATCTGCCTTGGCGCGCGCTTACTTCAAGTACAAAAGACATTCTTCCACATGATCCTCATTAACTCCAAGTTTAATTCATACTGTTTGTCGTAATGGAAAATAATAGAACTGTACTTTAGAAGAAGCTCGCGCGCATTCAAATTTTATTATGAAATAAAGGAGAGGCTATTATAATGTCCTAGCGAATTATTTACGAATAAAAGATATCTTAAAGTTTTGAATTCAAGTAGTGTAGTACAAATTTGGTTTCCAGTGTAGTGTGTATGCTATCTTTAAGACTCGTTTTCTCAACGTTTTCTTAAACGTCATAGAAACCCCCGGTACCGTATAAAAGATCCGCGAAAACATCATATTAAAGAGAAGAACGAAGAGAAAAGCACTGAAGAGTCGATGAGAGGAACAGGACGAGAGGCAAAATGGAGAGAGAGAGAGAGAGAGAGAGAGAGAGAGAGAGAGAGAGAAACAGCGAGAAAGAGAGGTCGAGCGCGAAGCCGGGTACAGTTATCTGCAAAGAGGCAGGCGTATGTTTCGGTCGGTGGCAGCAGAGCGCGGCTGTCCGAGATAATCCGCCGGTGATTAAGACCATAAATCCATCGGCGGATTAGTATGGTTGCACCGCACACCTCGCGGCGGCGCTCTGGCTGGTGCACGAGAGTCGCTCTGTGCTCCAGCCTCCAGTGCGCTGCTCTATCTTTCTTTCTCTATTCTCTATAGGTTCTCTCCTTCTCACTCGCTCACTTCCTCTTCTCTATCCAATTCCCGCTCCCTCTCTCTCTTCCTCTGCCGCGCAATCATCTACCCTCCTGGACCCCTGATTGCGGCGCAACCGACACACATCCAGTGTCTGTATATCTCAGCCTGGTTCGAAGGGCAAAGGGGTTGCGAGAACGAGAGGGATCGAGAGAGGCGAGGGAGAGAAGAAGAGAGAGAGAGAGAGAGAGAGAGAGAGAGAGAGAGAGAGAGAGAGAGAGAGAGAGAGAGAGCGCGGGAGAGAGGAGCCGAGCTTACACACCATGGGAATGGGAAATGGGACGCCGCGGAATATAGGTGGACACTAACCGGTATGAGAGTGAGGATTACCGAGTGTCATCCGTATTCGGCCGGGTTAGCGGCTGTCAGCGGCCAATGCTATCGCTATATATCAATTATTACCTTTAGCCTCGCCGCACAACGCTCGGCTGCATTCCGGTACACACACTCTGCTACACCGCGATGCATCGCCCGCCCACCCGCCGTATCTCATTCGCATCACGCGGTTCGATTTGCATCGCGACGCATCGTATGCAAACGCGATGCACGACCGCGCCTCTCGCATCTCCGATTCGACCCGCGCTTCCACGGTTACGCGGGTTTAACGTTGAATCCGTGGTAGCTACTGGCTGCCTGGCTTGGTCGTTCTGATGACATCGCCAGCTCGTAAGTTCTAGTGGACGCGAAAAGTACTGCGTATAGCGGTTGTCTTGAGCTTTCGAAGGGAAGTAACGATTAACGGAAAAAAATAGATAGTGGTACTGTGTTCATACAGTGTTAGTATTATTGCAGCATTAGTGTTGGGAAAATAAATAAATGTAAAAAAAGAAATGTAAAGGTGACCCTACACAATTAATAATACCGATCAATAACATTGAATCGATATTGACAGTACGCATCAATATTTTTAGTATTTTTACAGTCTTATACGATCAGTATTATTGACAATATATTTCACTTTAGTTTTACATACATTATCTATTGTACTGTGACAGAGATTCTAATAAATACGATACTCGAGAATCAAAATCCAGATCACCATCAGTATTCTACATTAATCCATCAATATTAATCATATACGATCAGTAATATTATCAATATTTGTTAATACTGACAGTATTATTGATCGTGTAGAATCACCTTAATAGCAGTTGCACTCGTAATAATGAATTATGCTATTAATATAATAGCGTCGAATAGATAGTGACGACATTCTTGTAATGAGCGATTTTAATAGCTTTTTCATATGTAACAAGCGAAATGACTTAAATATAGATTAGCAAATAAACTAAATCAAACACATTTAATAAAGTTGAAGAGTTCGTGATTCAAAATCTCTTACATATAAAAAATTCAAAGTGAAAAGGTAAAATAAATCTAAATTTGTAAGATATGCAGTTATTTAATAAGAGCTCACTTTAAATATAACTGCACATTTAAAGAAGAGATATAAAAAAGTATACGCTTTGAAAGCTTCAACTAAATACTAAGTATTTAGTATTTATTATTATTATTTAGGTGTACACATATGTTTAACATGATATACGATAAATTGACAGTTAGATTCAATTTAACGTTAAACATCGTAAGTTTTTATCCACAAAAGACTCCCTTCGGTCCCAAGTTCGGCTTTAGAACGGGTCGAAGCAGAAATACGATCGGCTTTACGGTAATGTCCGAGAGTGGCCGTTTTCAAGTTAATATCACGTTGAACGAGATGAAAAATGGCAAAGGACGAGCCGCGCGTATTCCACAGGCGAATCAGGATTCGAATCGGCGGCAGTTAATCTTCTATCGGGTATTGTATTTTTGATACAGAGCGTTGCAATGCATTCCGCAATTCTGTCGCAGACGCAGAAGCTTTTTAAATTTTTCAAAAATTCAGTGCTTGAATTTAGTGTAGCCAAACGTATTATATGAGGTGTGAGTTATATTAATTGTAAGCAAATAATAAACTAAAAATAGTTTAAACTATATTTTAGCAACGATCTCTCTCAGATATATATGTATATTTTGTTACGTTAAAGAAGAGATTATGATATTATGACTCTTATAGGTATAATGGCTCCTCTTAATATTTCCGTTATTTGATAGCAAATAATTCTAATGATTATTCATGGAATTATTTATTCAGTAGCTCGCTGCCGTACCATTACACTATGGCGCTTATATGCCAATATATACAGTACTTAGCATCTATTATAATGCATTTTTATTTTCAAACATTTCGAAATGTTTCTCTCTCTCTCTCTCTCTCAAAATACGTTTTAGAATTTAATTATAAAAACTTTCTCATTCTTCTTATTATCAAATACATGCACACTTGAATGTTTTGTTTGTTACTTCACATTTTATTTGGCTATATACATTTCAAATTATGCAAAATTGAACAATAGCATGAAGGATATTTTGCTAATATAATTCTATAAGAGTGGTTAATGACGGCTTCTTTTCCGAGGTTTCCTTTTAAAAATAATTATTCGATAATTTGATTATAGCTTTATTTACTATATAATACTATATAAATATACTATTGTATATTTGCTATCTTGATTTTGCATGATATTGAATTATATATACGCGGAAGAAGTTATGTATATACATTTGCATATATTCTGCAATTTTTATTGTAAATATATATAATTTTATAAAGTACTATATAGATATTTTAAAAATTTTTTAGATTTATTTTTATAAAGAATCACATTACCATTCCTATTTCTTTTCGA